GTAGAGAAGAGAGACTAAAGATGACAGCAGAGTGAAGAAATGTGCTCAGTTTGTGCTCCAGCAGTCTAAGTCTATAGCAGCAGAAAGCAGAAAAAATGGGGAACCAAGCATCTTTCATGAATTTCATTATTAAAGCCAGGAGAACATAGGTACTAGGGAACATATTTAGAGTGAAATGTAAGTACTTGGGAACAGGTACTGGGGAACATACAGTATGATAGGTCCTTCAGAACATAAGCCTTTGGTAGAGTAGTTACTTGGGAACATAGGTACTGCGTAACGTAGGTACTTGGGAACATAGGTAGCTACTGAGTAACATCGGTACTTGGGAACATATAGGTACTGGTGAACATACAATACAACAGGTATTTCAGAACATAGGTCTTTGGTAGCATGGTTACCTGAGAACATAGGTACTTGGGATCATATAGGTACTAGTGAACATACAATACAGCAGGTGTTTCAGAACATAGGTCTTTGGTAGCATAGTTACCTGAGAACATAGGTACTTGGGATCATATGTACTGGGGAACATAGGTACTGGAGAACATAAGGTACCTCGGTCTTTGATGGTTCCTTGGTTATTCCTGAAAACCCAAACCAATTTCCTTTCATGTGAAGGCGACAAATGAATATTGATCTATCCACTATAATTAGTAGGTTATCAATGGTGACATCAATTACAGGTAGAGGCAAATGTCTTAGACCAGGTGAGGCTAATAGCTAGCCAAACAAATACCAGTTTTTATTTGTATTATTAGGCTTCAAAAATAATGCCTTCTCAAAATAGACATACTTGTATGAAACACTACATTAGCCAACCCTGTTTGTTTAGTTTGCTGCTGTTTTCTCAAYCAGACATCTGTATTTCTATGGAAATGTGTGTGGTGCAAATATAATGGATATTTTAGCCAATGGTGCTGAGGCTGCTAATTGTATCAGTTCACCAGGAGTTGAGTAAACATTCGGACTGACTAGATGCACTGATCAAGTGGATGGAAACATCCAACAGCTTAAATATGCTTACATTAGGCAGTAATTTCAGCTGGGTTGACTCGGGCCATGTTGGGATTTCAGCTCCAGAGGCTTTTTTCTCATGTGCTTCTTAAATGTTTTACCCTCTATTCTCTGCCGGGTCGTTTCCCACCCTTCAGGGAGAGGAGATCTGAATGTCAAAGAGTGTTAATGGAAGCCCCTGAGTCAAACTATCCTTTGAGTCTTGAATCGATTTATTACACTTTTTCTTTTGAAAATGAAACAGAACTGAGTAACGACCTTTATAGCTGCACTTTCTTTTGGGATTAAAAAAATGTGTTATACATTCTAGAGTTTACAACTGGTAGCAAACTCCTGATTAAGTCCTTCTAAGTGTGGGTTTGTTTTCTGTTGGTCAGGTTCAAAGTTCCCCTGCACAACCCACATCATCCCTGTGAAGAACGAGGAGGGTGTGGTCATGATGTTCATCCTGAATTTCGACTACATTTTGGAAGAAGGAAGCAGTGAGTCACTGGAGAGACTCAACCACACATCACCCAACAAAGCTGAACAACGTGAGTAAARACGAGGAGGAAGGTGGTGCCAGTTTTAGCCTTTGTACAGTCCTCTTGATTCGGTTTATACATTCCTGTAGATCCAGTTTATACAGTCATGTAAATCCAGTTTATAAAGTCCTGTAGATCCAGTTTATACAGTCCTGTAGATCCAGTTTATACAGTCCTGTAGATCCAGTTTATACAGGCATGTAAATCCAGTTTATACAGTCATGTAAATCCAGTTTATACAGTCCTGTAGATCCAGATTATACAGTCCTGTAGATCCAGTTTATACAGGCATGTAAATCCAGTTTATACAGGCATGTAAATCCAGTTTATACAGTCATGTCAATCCAGTTGATGCAGTCCTGCAGATCCAGTTTATGTAGTCCTGCAGATCCAGTTTATGCAGTCCTGTAGATCCAGTTTATACAGTC